CATGTTTCGAGGGGTGCATCAATTAGCTTGGGACCGAAGAGAGTACCAGAGCTGAGCCAAAAAGTTGAGCACAACCTCTATGGTAATATTCTTCCAGGAAATAAACACCATCAGTGTTGTCTTCGCATAATTTCTCACACACGTAAAGGGCTGGGGTTTCAATGTTTACTGTTGGGATCATAACCTTGAAAAAGAATTATAAGAAATTAAAGCGAGTTCAATATCAACGTCGAGCTTACTTCAATCCATGATGATGAAACATACCTTTCTCAAATATTTACTGAAAATCGCTTACGAAAAAAAAATCAAGGCTGTGTAGTCGGGTCGGAGCCGATGGCATTTTTTGTAGGTTCCGGGCTCCGAGCTACTGTCAATGGCGTTTTATCGGTGGACATCAGATACATCGAAAATGCCTCCGACTCCGACTCGACTCCACTGCCGTGAAAAAAAATACTTGCTTTTGGGTTTGTACTAGAGCTAAAATGACTTGACCCGGTTCATGACTTGATGGGTCGATAGGTAGGGTTCAAGTGTGGGAGCTGCCTCCTCGGCTGCCTCCCTGGCGTCGGGAGCATAGAATTCTCTGACGCTTATGAATTACAAAAGTTTTAGTGCAGAACTTTCGGTAAATACAAAGGTTTTCTTGCACTAATACTTATAATTTATCCCGAGTTCTGCACTAATACTTGTGCATTTCACAAACGTCAGATAAGTCTATTTGTGCTCAGCACGGAAAACAAGATTGACAGAAAACAAATCAAGGAAAAAAAAAGAACGTAGTATCAGTAAAAAATGTGTATTTTTATACTCATTAATGGGTAAAAACTTTAAACCTTGCTGCATCCTGCTTCGTTGGTGCATGCCATTGGCCTATGCGAACAAATTTCTGAAATTTTAGCAGAAAAATGAAAGAACTACGATCCAAACTGTGCAGAGTAACGATAAAAAAGCTAGAGGGTAAGTGATTTATATTATTTTCATAGCAAAGTCCTAGAAAAAACAAATTCATTATTAAGGTTTTCATTGTCCGGTGCCTGGCTGCGATTTTTTTTTAATAAAATAGTATTGAATCCGCGCAATCTTTATTTTATCATTGACACAAATAAGAAAACTCCGACATCAATAAAAAAGAACAATGCGACATGAATCCGATCGACGTTATTAATTTGTCAACTTGTCACTCTCAACATAATTTACCCATTTTTGGGTAGGTTCAGTTTTGACAGATCTGGGTGGATTCTACCCAAATTTGGGGAGTTTTGAAATAGCGTGTAGTAAGTATTCATTTTTGAATAAAAAATACTCATAAATGGGTAATATATTTACTCATTTAATAGGTAGTCCCAGTCTCCCTCGAAAATGCTTACTTTGTAGTCATTATTGGGTATTTTGCGGTTACCGTGTAGCCGCGGCCTACACGCTTATTCTGGTCAACTCAAAATTGAGTTGAAGGTACTCATCTCAGTGGCAAGTAGGGCTATTATTATTATTATTTATCTTTATTAGGGAGGCTTTCAGCCTTGGGCTGGTTCGCCTGACAAGTAGGGCTACTCAAAATTGAGTAGCCTTATGTTGACTCACTTTTGAGTAAACGACGTTCTCAAAATTGAAATTGCCTGCTCCGGATTCATTCTACCGGAGCAGAAAATGGTTCAACCATAGAGGTAACTCTAAGACCACTGGGTCCCGAAGAAAATCATTATTATTTTTGGCTCACTCAGTACCAGAACAACGGTCCCAAGCAGTCCCAAGCTATTTCACTCACCCCTGCATGTTCTGCATGAATCCACACACCCCTGATGTTATCTGTCAAACTTTCATAGCGAATCAAAACAAACATAGTGTAGTAATAGAATTTCAACTAGAATAGGGTACGTTAATCGTTTGCTTGGGACCAATAGGCTACTAAAGTGGTGAGCCAATTTAAAATCGTTAGTTTCGTATTGATTGTTGGTTCAACACCGTTTCCCTACACACAAAGAAAAATCTTTGCTAAAATTAAAAAAAAACCATTGTTATAATTAAAAGTTTGCATTGGTTCTTTTTGGTAGAAAGCAGTTAGCTTTCAAAACGAAAGTCAATCAACTGTCAATTCAAAAAAAATTCGGCCATTAATTTTAAAAGTTTAAACTTTCAAAACGAATTGTATTACTGTCAAATGAAAAGGCAGACAGTGTTGAAAGAAAAATATATTTTTTTCTAATTCAAATCAAACTTTTAAAATTACATGTGGTATTTTCAATCGTAAAATTAAATATTTTCAGTTAAAAACCATTATTTTCAATTTATTCACGTCGCTTTACATTATATATTCTAATATGTGTTTTTATTTGGTTAATACATAGATCTACATATTTTTATCACTTTACATCAATAACAATAACAATAAATCATTATGACTACCCGATTTTCAAAGACGTCGTGGCGGTGGGTGGCTTCCTTCCGGACATCAGACACTGATTTGGCAAATGGGGAACTATTTTATTTGATGCGCTATTTGCTGTTGAAAAACTGAGGCAAATATGTGATTACTGCGGAATTCCTATCACCGAGTTGAAGACTCGGTTGAACAACACATGCTGATGTCGTTGCTGCACTACGTTGATCACGTACATGATAAATCCTCCATCACACACAAGGGGAACAAAACAGGCATCTGTGGTGGAAACATTCGAATCGGCGGAACACCCGTAAATCGAAAATATTCAGCCGATGATGCCGTATCGGTCATGGGTTGATTTTCCATATTGGGAGATCGAACCAGAGCGTTAGACTGGGTCATTTGTAAGAATGAGTTCCGTTCCACTGAAAATTACAAACAAGTTTGAACATCTCTTGGGGTAATGTCCTGGATAATGTAATGCATAATTACCTGGATACTAGATGAATTCAATCCGTTGAGTCAAGTTTGTCCAAATCTGGTGCTCTGAACTATGATGAAGTCCAACATTGGCCCTGCGAAACATCTTCAAGAATGTCGGAAGCTGAAAGCGATAATCTGCATCCTGGTTAGCTTTCCGGTTCCGGTTCTGCAAAATTAAAATTAATGAAAATTATATATGCGATCATTCCCAAAAATTCTCACCTTAATTATTTTCTGCCTGGTAAATCCGGTGGAAGCTGGGGTGGAAGCAAAGTGAGTGAAGTGTAAACTCCATTTCCATTCAATTGGAAGCTGCTTCGCCTTGTTTTGTGTCGCTCGTCATATTTAGCGCCAAACCGAAGTCTAGTGCTGCCAAAAACATCGCAATGAAGAGGTATTTTTGACAGTTCAACAACTTTTATTTCAAGAGCAAATTTTCATTACGTCGAATGTAACAAAGGTAAACAAAGTCGAGCTATCAGTGTCAATCGATTCTCCTGCTATGACACTATATACTGTCCGAATATAGGATCAAATCCCATTTTTAAATTTATTTGTCAGCCAAATTGCTTTTTGACGTAATCACCTTCCGATCAAAATAGTTTTCGATGTTACTTAAGTCACCCAATTTCTATGGAGATGCCGTTTGACTTAAGTAACAGCGCTGGGAAACCCGTGAAAAGTGTACGTTCGTCGTTTCGCTTTCTCATTATTAAAGTGAATAAATCGAACTGTTTGTTGCTAAGATGATTTCTGTGGTCCTAAAATGATGAATGGGCTGCACGTAAGGAGACGTAATTGATAATTCTCCCGAATATTCTGGTAAATACACTTTGACTTAAGTAACAATAGGGGCCACCAAACGACGTATAATAACTTTTGACTCAAAAACCAGTATTTTTCAGCATGAAAGCTAGCGGTTTGCATTTGTATGATTAAAACCCTGCTAAATATGTTAAACTTTGCTATCACTATGAGATTATATGTGTTTACTTGGAAATAGGAATAACTTTTCGGTCATCAAAACAAAACTTTATTTTTCTCGGATTGGTGCGAATGTTACTTACGACATAATGAAAATTTGCTCTTGATTTCAAAAAATCACTTTTAAAATTACGAGTCGAAAAGTAAAAGAAACACTTTTAAACCAAAAAAAAACTTTCGTTTTATATATTTTCAATGTTAAATTGTTTGGAAAACTTTTAATTTAAAATTATATTATTTTTATAGCAACAATATTTGTTCTTTGTGTGTAAGCAATTCGTACTTACCTGAAGGCATTTCAGTCGGTTTTAAGTAACATTTTCTATGAGGTTACCTCCGAAATGACTGGCATTTTTTCCAAGTCCAGGATTTTGCTGACTGAGTGGCTTTTACTCAGTTTGACATTTCTCGTTTACTCAATTTTTGACAACTCGATACATCGGTCGAAAGTGAGTACGATCGACTCACCTGGTGTGTAAGCAGAAGTTAGCGTGTAAGTTATGTTATAAGTTATGAGTTGTTTCGTTTCTCTGTGTAGAGAGATGTGAGCAAACATGGAATCTAATTTGATTTGTGTTTTCTGTTTTGTTTTTTTCTTCGTATTAAACAAAAAAATAACTTTGTTTCGTAGCTTGTAAGGTAAATGTACTGATTTTCATACTAGCACTAATTTGAGACCTTTCGGCCAAAAAGGGGACTAAAAATAATAAGGTGAACAATATACGTTCCTCAAACAATTACCTACCAAAACTTGCTTGTTTTGAATGCATCTGATATGTTTTGGTTACCCTAATAAACAATTACCATAAACGAATGGTAGAACTGTCCCTAAAATGGTTTAAATGATACCACGAACACGTTGTTAAGCACTTTATTGTGGTTATTTTTATTAGGCTGACGTAAAAAAAACTTGCATTATGCACGAGGTTTTGACAATTTTTTGTGTAACATTTGAAAATGGCACAATAACTTTTTGTAAAGCCCTTTACACGTAAAACTAAGTGCACCCACGCAAACCAAAAAAAAAGTTTGCCAATTTTTGTATGCAAAAGCTTTTGTGCCGTTTTAAATGTAAATGAATATGTAATTTTTTTGTAGGAATATGAGGATGAGTCTGCGAGGTCAGTTATTAGTATAATTACCCTTGTTTCGCTTTGGCTTTTATTATTTTGTCATAATTTTGACGTTTTCCGACGCAGAATCGCTTTTGTAGCAGACCATCTTTTTTCTTGTTCTGAAAGTTTTTGGCTTGGTTTATTGTAGCAAAACGTGAACAATCTTCATTAGAATTACGTCATAGTTAATTTGTTGAGTGCATTTTAATCAGGTATGCGTATAAATAATACTAATAATTGATTACATAAATATGTAGATGGCGTGATTAAAAAAAAAAAAAAAAAAAAAAAATTCTAGACAGCCGACTATGGATCCGCCAAAAGAACCGTCAAAGCCGGGACTCGAGGTGGAGTCCGATGCAGCATTGGCCGCATCTGCTGCTAATGCAGTGGAACAATGGCGTACGTACCAGAACGCATATGCTCTATATCAACAGCAGCAAGCTGCTTACGACTTGTACATGCAAAAGCAAACCACTGTAACTAGCTACGAGGAACAGCAGGCAGCTTACAGTCAATACCTTGAAGCACACAACAACTATCAGAAGCAATTGGAACTGTATGAACAGCAAAAAGCGTATCAAGAATTTTACTCTGGAGCGAATGGCACAGCTGCTGCTGTTTTCTACCCGACTACTACGGAATTTCAGCCAGTCCCTGTGGCAATGCCACCGGTTTTTACCACACCGTTGGCTCACGTAGATGCTTACTACCACAAAGGAAACGACCATCGTCGCGATCCTTCATCATTAAAACATCGTTCTGACGTATCCAAACGCTCAAAAGCGTATACTGCTACAAATTATTACGGTAGAATATCTTGGTGCTTATTTTTCGAGCGGCAATATAATCTTCGAGTCTTTCAGCTAACCCAGAAGACGAACAGATGTTTCCGGTGGAATTGAAAGCATTATTCAAGGATCTAGATTGTGGTCTGTGCAAATGCAAAATGAATTCGCATATATCTGCCAATGTGCACTATCAGTCGAAAGTACACGAAAAGAAAATCATCCAATGGCTTAAGGACTGGTGTGAACGCACCGGAACTCCTATGCCATACCGGGCGCGCCGTAAGATGGTACAGGTGGAACCCGTTGGCCCTAATTCGTTGCGTTGCGAAGCATGCGATTTGCCACTGACGTCGATTCAACATGCCAATCAACATTATACCGGTAAACGACACCGAATGGTTGTCAGCGGCAAGAAAACTCCAGCCGGTAAGGGCTTCTTCAACAAAGATGGAACCTGGACTAGACGGTGAGTGTTGAGCTTTACTTTCATTATTCTTGTTTTTGAGGTAAGGATGAGATTTTTCAATTTGAAAAACACTAAACTTGCATTTAATTTTCGTCATATGATTAATTCGATGCCAACATTTCGTTAGGGAGAAACTGCTTTGGTAAACAATGACTTCAATCGCCGATTTCTAACAAATAAAAGCTTGCTCCTTCAAACTAATAGCGAATTTGTTTATTATCCAGGTTGGAACCAGTCCCAACCCGTGCGATCCCGAGATTTTTTTCAGTGCGAAGCTCAACCCGAGCCAGTTTACAAAAACAAACGTTCACTTTGACATTTGACAGACAACAATCAGACCCAATCTTGATACCCGATCCAGGCTGGAACTGAATCAAATATAATTTCGCTTTCTAATCAAGCATGGGAAAATTCAAAATGCAAAATGAAATAATTTTTCCCATAACTAATGCCGCGGATAAACTTGTATGACAAACAATGAGCATAAGCATTATATCTATATTAAATTATAAGCAAATCCATGGTCACACTTGTATAGTTTTTGGATGTGCTGATAAATTAATATACAAAAAAAAAGTTCATGTTTATAGTTTGCCATACAAGTAAATCCGCGGCATAAGTTTGTATATGTGAGCATTTATTAAGCAATTGTTCACAAAAGCAGTTTAGTCCAGTTGAAATGATGATGAAGAATCGTTGTTTATGCACATGCTACACAGCACTGTGGTCTTGCTTTGTTAATCAAAATTGTGTGAATAGATTCGCTATTTTAAACGTTCCATATGGCGCCCGTTCGTCGTACTTTGAAGGCACAATTATGCTCACAACGCTAGTTACGTACGTTATGTTTCATCTGTTACAGTGTATATGATGCTTATTTTTAGCTTACTTGAGATTAATAACAACACATCTACTTGAATATGCAAAATACACTGCTTACTACGGTAGAAATTTGGAATTTCGGGATCTCGAATATTTCGTTACTTCGAAAATTGCACAAATTTTGTCCTACTTAGTCCGGGTCTAAAAACATATCAATGGTAAACTTCTTTTACTGTGACTTTTCAACAATATTTAATCCCAAGATGACAAGAATTGGTCCAAATCTGAGCATATTTCTTATGTCCCAGAATGTTAAAAAATGTTCTAAGTTCAAAAATCTTGAAGCCCGGGATCTTGCAATCTGAGTAAATGAAACCATTTTCCAACCGTTAATTCACTTTTCATTCTAGTGGTCGTACCAACTAAGTTAAAAAAATTGATGAGTAAGTTTTTGATCTATATTGTGACGAATACTAGTATAGAAAAGTCTCTCTTATTTGATATGTAATTCGATATTTTCCCTTACTCGAAGAAATTCGAAGTGCCTTCAATTTTGCAAAGATTGCACTCTCTCTCCCTAACTCGATAACTTCTTTACTCAATGTGTTTTGATTGATTTTTTCCATGGTTTTTAACTTTTCAAACAAAAATTCCTGTAATTTTAGATAAAGCAATAGCAGTAAAATTGATTATAGAGATTCAAAATTAAGCCTAATTGTAAAATCTACTAAAAAGATGCTTGGGCAACGTACATCTAAAAATTGAAGAAGAATTGTTTCTTCGCGTGCCCCGTAGGTTAAGTAGGAGAACAGTTGCCACTGCAGCTGGTTCTCGTTTAATTTACATTTTGCTTTCGCCGTGCCGCTATTGGGATCCATATTGGAATCCTTTAGTGAGCTGTGGCATTGTACATTTATGTGTTCGTTTTACTTGTCCATCTGTAGTAGTAGTGGTAAATAGGGTATTAGTTTATGTGTATCGGTAGGTCGAGATAGGAGTATGCGGCGGGTGTATTGTGTTGATTGTGGTAAGCAGTGTTGTATATTCTCAAAATTAATTTGATGAAAATGAGAAAAGCAGCTATCCGCTATCACAGGGGACCTCCTTCGAATGGGTGATATCAGTTGCTTAGTCATTTGACGAAGGCATGGATCATTCTCATTTGAGAAACGCTTGATATCATTCAATTGATTAGTGTAACCTACACATAAACGGAGCGAAAAAGCTAAGCCAACCCGACACCAACCTGACTTCTACCAAACCTCAACCTGATGTTGACCCGACATTGACCAGATATAAACACAAAATTTACCCGCAACAACATGACATTGGGTTGATGTCGACCTTAAATTTGCTTTACATTGATCCGACATCGGCTCGACTTGCTGTTGGAGACAATTTTTCTGGGTTTCTTCCATACTCCGCTGTTGTATATCAAATGATAGTGAGTGACTCAATTGGGTTGTTTAACTTCGAAAAATATACCAATTTTTATACATCTTCCGATAAAGCTTCGTTTTCTGAGCATAACGATGTTTTTATCGGTCCCGTACACATTCATTTCGATTTTTAAATTAAGATTTAATATTCGTTGACAGCTCGCTCCCATACAAAGTTCCAACAAGGTGCGCTAAGATGGTGATTTTTGCTAATGTAATCGTACTTATTTAAAATAGTTCCAGTGTACCAAAACTGATGAAATTGTGTATTTCGGTTCCATTTTTAATGCAGATACCGAATATGTATTTACCCCTAAACTAAAGTCGGTGTATAATGAGTCACGCCAAGAGAAAACAGTTGAACTCGCATCACGGTTTTCGAAAGATTCCCATTCTTTTCACTTGGCAACAGAGGACTTCTACAACAACTTCAAATGACTTCTAGCGAGCGAAAAAAATGCGGCTGTAGTAAATCATTATATCAGTGATTTTGTCAAATTATCTTAACAAAAAATAGTAGAAATTCTCATTACTGATCATTACCGAACGTATCCCATGACAATTTAATGCTCACTGCGTGTTTATGCTCATTTCTTCGATTATATTTTATATTTTATTGCAATACCTTTCGTGGACCTTTCATAGCATCGTAATGTTTGTTTACTTTGCCCGATAGGTAGCCGGTTTGACGGATCAATAGGTAGACTTGGCTTCACTCTTGGCGTGACTCATTATACACCGACTCTACCCTAAACAACCCAATTGACAGTGACGATGAGCTTCGAATGAGAAAGTTGCTCTTCAAATTATAGTTATGTCAAGAGGTATTCAACTCTGCACATCTTAATGCGTAACGAGAAATTAAGTTGTGCCGAAAGCTGTGCCAACCGCTGTGCCGAACGTATCGAAGTGTGCTAATTATTATGTCATGGGATATGAGTTTGGCAACCCTGAGAGCAGTGCTGCAAAATTTCGACAATACACGGTGATACTCAAAATTCTGCTTTGGTCACTCGTTTGAGCTAACAGTCATCGTCATGGCAAACCATGTCAATTGTCAGTAGCATTTTTGTCAGTGACGAACATGTGCTGATTTGTTTATTAGCTATATTTGAAATGAAATTAAATGGCAAGAGCAAAACAATTATATGGAGCCATGAAAGTGAATAAGCATCTACGTCCTGAACTGCTTGGATAACAATAATGTGACTCAGAATGCAAGAAATTACACTTTCTGTTACCAGGTGAATCTTTGTCATTGACGAAAAAATGAATGAGATTTTGACAAAGATTTTTTTGAGGATCAAGTCTATCATTGACTATGTGAAAAACAATTTTGTCAATATCGCGCAAAAGTCTGTCAATGACAATGACAAATCTCAGCACTGCCTGAGAGTAATAAGGACTTTTGAGGTTGTGTTTACATTTTCAATTTTCTGATCGTTCTTAACAAGCATTCAGCTTCATTATCTCAAAAACATGAGAGAGGGCGATGAGAGAGGAACTGGAAGTCATCAAACCTGGGGTCACATTGCGAATCTCGAAACGAAAGAATTTTTGTACGAACGCTTGTATGAAAAAGTTTTTCGTTTCGAGATGCGCAATGTGGCCCCTGAACCTGCAAATTCAAACAGTTCACAAGATTTTGACACGATGTCCCTTTGAATTGCTAATTCCTTGCGGATGTGCAGAAACAAAGGCGTAACTTGATCGATGGTTGACGAAATTGCCACCACTTCGACTAAAGCAAACCCAGAATAAAAGCAGGTAGTTGTTCATTTCCACATTTCACCCTAAGAACAACATCCTCGATCCAGTTTTTCTGATTGAGTCGGAAGTATGTGTCGATGAGTATGGTACCTAAACCGTTCCTACCTACCAAGCTATCAAGTTCACGCAGTGGTACCATAGAGGTAACTCTAAGACTAGAAGGTCCCGAAATAACGTGCTCAACTTTTTGGCTCAGCTCTGGTACTCTCTTCGGTCCCATGCTAATCGATTCACCCCTCAAAACATAGGAAAAACCAATAACCCCTCATTTTATCTGTCAAACTTTCATAGCGAATCAAAACAAACATTTCGTAGTACTAGAATTTTGAATAGAATGGAGTACGTTAATAGTTTGCTTGTGACCAATAGGCTAGTCAAGTAGTGAGCCAAATTAAAATCGTTAGTTTCGTATTGATTGTTGGTGGTACCTTTCGCAATGTAACACCAATGGCCAATGTATCATCGATGAAAATCACAAAAATATTCCCCCAGTCAAGATCTGAAATACTTCGGAAATGGGACAGTCACCTTCAACGGAAGCGCTTTATCCAGTGCATATATTATTAATATATGTACACTGAGGAAATAATTCGTTGGAATTTCATACGAAATGTTTATGGAATTTAACCAAAAGAATTTATTTTGAATTTCATACGATAGAAATATGAACGCGCACCTTTGTTATCATTTATGTTTTTTGCAGTAGACACATATGGATTTCATAAATGTGTCGTATGAAAATGATACGTTATGAGTATGAAATTTACGTTTCATTCGTATGAATTAGAAACGAGAGGAATACGAAAAGCAATCGAATCAACTATGAAATTCATTGTAGCTATTTGTAGTTTTTTTCTTGCAAATTAATTAGATACATGTAATCATAAATTCATATTTATTTTTTAAACAAAGAAAAATTTTAGTTTGCGTTGCATTTGAGTTTTTGTATTATAAACAACATCACTCAAA